AACAAAGCATCTAATGTTGTATTTTGGATTTACTTATCTTTATGTCTAACTTCATGGTTCATCAATACGTTAGACACATCTTTAAAATTTATGGTGTCTTTACCATAAATTGATGTAGTAGCTAAATTATCATATGCATCAGGTAATGAATTTAACAAAATCAAGGCTTATCTTCATCCTTGACATCTTCATCTAAATTTAACAAATCAGTGATTAATTTGTTAAATGAATTGAGGTGTGTAATCATTTCCGTACCTTCTTTGTACTGGAATCGATACAACTGCTTTTTCAAATGGAGGTAATTTTCGATGCTCTTTGTCATGTACTTGTCCTTCAATTTCTACAATAGCAGCTTAGCTGACGTTTCTTGCATAACAAAATACTTTTGAGGTTTTACAAGACATAAGCTAATCGTAGAGCAAGCCATTCAATTTAACTTATTTCAATTCGCTTCCTTTATATCCTTTAGCTTGTCTTCTAACATCAGGCCCAAATCTTTTTGAGTCAACGCATCTTAAACTTCAAACTTTGCATTTTGAATTGTCATTTTTGCCAAACTTGAAGCATGTGATTCCGGCAAAGGATGCACACCTCTCGATTCTGATTGATCACCCATCTTCATCAAGCAGGTTCCAAACACAAACTTTGATATGGATGAGCCTAGTGGCTCTAATACCAATTGTTGTGCTAGAACACCAAATGGAACAAATAAAATGAAAGAAATAACTCTCAATTTATTAACTGATTGAGATAACAAATGTACAAAGAGAATCTCAAAAATGGGCTCACATAAATTATTTCTACGTGAGCTCCTTTTGTTACAAAACAAATGGTTTCCCTTCTAATATGTAAAGCCATAAACAAGTTTGTGATGGAGTAAAAAACAAAAATAACCAATACAAAGTAATTGACCAAGGTTTAGATCGAGCCACATGTCAACAGAAGGTATGGTGGTGGTGCTAATAGTAGGGTGTGGTGCTAATAGCCGGGTGTGGTGCCAACAACAAGGTGTGGTGTTTGAGGTGTAGTGGTAGCAATAATGGTGGTGATGCTACCGATAATAAGGTGTGATGGTTGAGGTGTAGCTGTAATAATGGTTGGAACGACATTTTGGAGGAAGATGGATATGATAGAATATGGAAGAGAGTTTTTTAAAAAACAAATGAAGCTTTATTGATAACTAACTTTATTGATTTCAAATTGATTACAACACTAGGCCATCTTATTGGCTATTTATAATAACATTCAAACCTTTTCATAACATACCTAATTCTTGGATTAGCTCCAAGAGTTGCAGACATAACCCTAGACATCTAAAGAGATACAACTCTTCCTAAACACAGTTCTTCTCAAGTGACACAACTCTACTTAACAATTGATACAACTTTACTTAACAACTGATACAACTAACAAGGAGAAAGTGCATTACGTTTAACACTCCCCCTTAATGCATTTGTCCTACGACATTTAGTTTTTCTCTAAAACAGTAGAACTTCTCTTTTGGAAGTGCTTTTGTGAAAACATCTGCATTCTGCTTACCAGTACGACAGAAGTTCAATTCAATCTCTCTGTCTTCAACCAATTTTCTGATAAAATGATGACAAAGTTCTATGTGCTTTAACCTGCTATGAAAGATTGGGTTCTTTGTCATGGCAATTGTGGACATGTTATCACAGTACAAATTTGTTGGAGTGTTTTGTTCTTGACAAAGATCTACCAATATTCTTCTAATCCAAACTGCTTCACATGCTGCACTTGTGGCTGAATATATTCTGCTTCGGTTGTTGATAATGCCATTGTACTATGCTTCTTTAACGACCATGATATAACTTTGCTTCCCAAGAAAAACAGATGCCCAAATGTGCTTCTTTTATCATCAATTGCACCAACCCAATCACTGTCTGTGAACCCAACTACAATGCTTTCTTTCTCTTGTGTATACTTGATGCCATATCCTTTGGTTCCTTGCACATATCTTAGTATTCTTTTAACAGCAGCAAAATGATGATTACTTGGATCATTCATGAATCGAGATACAACACTAACTACGTGAACTATGTCTGGCCTTGTATTAGATAAATAAACAAGTGAGCCAACAACACTTTTATACATAGAAGAATTAGCTCTTGGTGCTCCATCATTACTTGAAAGCTTTAAATTAATTGCCATTGGAGTATCCATTGGCTTGCAATTCAACATATTGAACCTTTTCAAGAGATTTTTTGCATGCTTTTCTTGATACATGAAAATCCCTTTTTCTGATTGTTGGCCTTGAATTCCTAGAAAATACTACATAGAGCCCAAATCAGTCATCTCATATTCTTTCATCATGTCATTCTTGAATGCTTCTGCCATTGTGTCTTGCCAAATTTTTTTCTTTCACTGCTTCTTCAAATTTTTGAGGCTCCAAAGCATTCAAAGCAAGATCACACGACTCATATATGTCCGCTAATAAACCCGTTCTTGCGTTTAGTCTTGGAGTTGAATCTGGTGAACTAGGATCAGATGTTCTTGCACTCGGAATTGGACTTTGGAGTAACATAGTTTCTTCTAAATTTGATGTTTCTGGTTCATAAAAAAATCTCGATATTTCACCTTGTTCGTTTTCCCATCTCCATACCTTGAATTCATAAAAAATAACAAATCTGGAAATTACCAACTTATTAGTTCTTGGATCAATCAATCTATATGCCTTGGAGTTGTCACTATAGCCCACATCAAACTTTTCTCTCTTTTGAGAAGGAATATGATGCTATGTAACCAAAGATCTTAAAGAAATCAGCCTTTGGCTTAAACCCATGCCATGCTTCGGAAGGAGTCATATCCTTGACAGACTTGGTAGGTGACCTGTTGAGAATAAACACCTTATGTACGAATTGTTTCAGCCCAAAACACATTTGGTAGACCTGTTGCTTTTAACATGCTTCTTGCCATTTCAATAGTGGTTCGATTTCTTCATTCCGCAACACAATTTTGATGTGCAGTGTAGCTTGCCATCAATCTCTTTTGATTCCATTGCTTTCGCAAAATTCCGAAAATTAATTTGATGTGAACTCTCGACCACGATCACTTCTCAACGTCTTCAGATTGTATCCATTTTTCTTTTCTCCATAGGCCTTAAATTGCTTGAAAAAAGAGAAGGCTTTTGACTTTTGTTCTAGAAAATAAACCCACATCATCCTACTATAGTCGTCAACAAAGAAAAGAAAGTATTTCTTGCCATTAAAAGATTGTGTTCGAGTCGGTTCACATATATCTGCATGTACCAACTCAAGAGGGGCTCTTGCTTTCCATGTTGATTGTGAAAATGGTAAGCGGTGAAATTTTTCAGAAATACAACCTTCACATACTTCTTTCTCAGACTGAACTAAAGGAAGCCCAACCACCATATTTTTCTGGTGTAAGAAGTGTAGACTTCTTTGATTTAGATGTCCATACCTCATATGCTTCAATAGTGATTCTTCTATATTTTCAGCTTCCAAAACATAGTTTTCTTTTGATGCAATGAACAACGGAAAGACTTGTTTGCCGTCTTTTTTTATCTTAGCTACTACAGTGCTATTCTTTTTATCAGAAATAACACAGTGGTCATCATCAAATTTAACAGAGAAGCCTTTTTGCTGGAGTTGTCCTACACTTAATAAATTTTGTGCCAAATTAGGAACATATAGCACACCATAGATTTGTTTTGGTGTACACTCTCGAGTTTGAAAAGAGATAATACCCTTGCCTTCCACGTTGTGAAGCTTTCCATCTCCGAGCTTGACTTGTGAATTCACATTTTCTTCAAATTTGACGAAACATTGTTTGTTTCCCGTCATGTGGTTACTGCATCTGCTATCTATGTATGATATATCTTGTGGTTCTTGACGAGTGCTGAGACATGTATAAAATAGTTGCTTTGGAGAATCATTATTTTCTGTGAAATTGGCTTCATTATTTTTCTGATATCTGCAATCTCTTTGAGAGTGGTTGGGTATTCTGCATCGAGTACACTTATACCAACAATCTGCACTTTTGTGCCCTGTCTTTTTACAAACATAACATTCAGCGACAAAGTTACCATTTTGGTTGTTTTGATGGCTGCGTCCTTGCTGATTGTTGTACGTTGTTATAGTTGTCCTTGTTATAATGCTTCGGCCAATGAAATTTACTTTTTCTGTTTTGAGACTTTTGAGATTCTCCTTTTTGCTTGTCTTCTTTCTCCTTCGAATCCAGTTTGGATTGAAAGGCTTGCTCCAAGGATTGGTCTATAGACCTATTAATCCTTTTTACATGTACTTCCAAATTACCAATAGTTCATGGAGCATAAGTGTAGCGAGACCTTTTTGACTCCTCTATTGCTGCAACAACGTGATCGAACTTTGGTGGTAGACTGCGTAGAGTTTTCTATACAATTTTCTTGTCTAGAATTGCATCCCCATAACTTCTTATTTGGTTAACAATTCCAGAAACTTTTGTGAAGAAAACCTGAATGGATTCATTATCCTTCATTGGTAAATTATCCAACTCTCGCCACAAGGATTGGAGTTTGACGAAGATCACTTTCTGTGACCCTTGGAACTCAATTTTGAGTATTTCCCAAGCATTCTTTGATGTAGTTGCAGAAAGTAATCTTGGAAAGAGATTTTTGCTTACTCCGTGTTGAATTAGCTAGGAACAAAGCCTTGGCATCTCTTTTCCTATTTTCTTTAAGTGCTTGCTACGTTTCCAATGTCGTTTTTCTGGTTGATGTTTTTTCCAGTTCCTCGTAACCATCTTGTACAAGATCCCAAAGATCTTGAGAGATGAACAAGATCTTCATTTGTAGGCACCAATATTCATAATTCTCTCCATCGAAAATAGGCATTAAATTAATTTTGAATATTTCCAATGTTTGAGGAATTTGAACTTGATGCCATGACTAACACAACGGAGGGATCGATTGGCTTTGATATACCAAATTTGTTGGAGGAAGATGGATATAAGAAAATATAGAACGGAGTTTTAAACAAAAAAACTGAAGCTTTATCAACTAACTTTATTGATTTCAAATTGATTACAACACTAGGCTATCTTATTGGCTATTTCTAATAACGTTCAGGCCTTTTCATAACAGACTTAATTCTTGGATTAGCTCCAAGAGTTGCAGACATGACCCTAGACATCTAAAGAGATACAACTCTTCCTAAACACAACTCTTCTCAAGTGACACAACTCTACTTAACAATTGATACAACTAACAGGGAGAAAGAACATTACGTTTAACACGGTAGTGGTGGTGACCACGGGGGTAGTGGTGGCAGTCGCAGTTGGAGAATATAAACTGAGATAAGATCACCTAAAGGAGAGAGGTAAGCAGAGAGAGTGTATCTACATGATAGTTTCTCATTATTATTATTATTCTAGTCATGAGGCTGCAGATACACAAACTGAATCCACAGAATATCTCAGACTTGAGGGACAAGCATTTCCCTTACGCGTTTCATATGAGCAACCAATTTTTGGTAGTCAGGAAGGTTGTCTCTGATGACAGGAACTTGCTTGAAATTCTGAACCCAAGCATGCAATCGAGGCAAAGTGCTTGGCTCAAGCAATTTGACACCCACCATTTCTTCAACGGCTCCGAACCAAAGAGCCAGCCATCCATGCGTTATGTCTACCAAGTTTATACTATCACCCCCAAAAAACTTCTTGTCGCCAAGCCCTTGCTCTTCCAATATTTTCAGCGTTTCCAACACTGATTCGATTGTCTTTTGTTGATCTTCTCCGGCAGTTAATCCGAAAAATGCATGAAAACTGGGAATCTGATGATGCATAAAAAGATATGGCTAAGCACTTATTTTGATCTTTTACAGGGAAACATAAATTCGTGCGCATGCTAATCATAGCTATTTGGCGTCAATCTGAACTCCTAGAGGGCATGATGACAAGCTACTTAGGTAGGAAAGATCCCCAATTTGGTCATCACAATGATTTGTCTTGTTTAACAAACTACAAAATTAAACTAGTGAGAAAAATTGAACCCATATGAGCAGCATTTTTCTGTAAATTATTGGAAGTCTCTCAATATATAGTTGAACTAGCTAATTAAGAGAAAAGCGGATGAGAAATAATTGAAACTTGAAATTATTCACCTGACATGTATGGAATTGTATCCAAAACCGAGCCAAAGCTCTTTCATAAGCATCTTCAGGCAGCAGATGATTCTCTGGCCAAGTTTCTTCTATGTATTCAAGGATGACAACCGACTCGGAAATCGGTTTTCCCCGGTGAAGAAGCACCGGAACCTTCTTGTAAACTGGATTGCACTGCAACAGAAGTTCACTCTTGTTAAAAATGTCCTGTTCTATGTACTCATATTTCACACCCTTGAGCTTTAGAGCCCATATCACTCTGTAAACATACGGACTTGGCCAAAACCCTAGTAGTTTCACTTCTTCCATTATTCGTGTGACCAGGTGATCGAGGCAGGAGCCTGATCATACATATATACTAATTTAAATTTGACTAGGTCTCTAAATAAATGGTAAGAAAATGAAATTGCGAAGTCATCCTATTTGGAAAATGAAAGAAAGTGACGGGTCTTTCTTTCTTTCTCTATTTTTTTAATTATATATATATATATATTTTTTTTTTTTTGAAGAGCCAGTCTTTCTTGTTTTAGGGTAGCAAAATTATAAAAATCTGCCCATTATGTGTGGTTTGCAGATAATATCACTGTTCTTTAGCGTCCAATAAAGTGATTAATTACTCATTCTAAAATTTTACTAAGAGAAACAATTTTCACACTCTGTTCTACTATTTTGTACACTCATATTTGTTTAAATTGCTTGAACAATTTTTTTTATTATATGCAAGAAAAGGTCGAAAACGAATAGGGTGTACAAGAAGAGTAAAAATATGAGAAAATCACTTGTATTTTCTCAAATGACAGGGAGAAGGTGCATGATTTGTTTTCCAGTTCTTGGCGTGAGAAAACAATGGGCTTGTGTACCCAAAAAAAGAAAAGGGCTGCCGTTTCAAACTCACCTAATTTCTTTTAAAAGATGTGATTATTCCCGACGCCAATCTTTACCTCTAGTCGTAGATATCTGTATGTCATCACTGTGGAGAATTTTCCTACTTGTGGGTACTGACTTTTTGACTATTTGTTTGTATTTCACCATCATGGAACAACATAAAAAGTCCAGAAAGAAAGTTTTTTTTTTTTTTTTTTTTTTGTTGGAAGTAAAGGAAGTTTTTTGATCTTACAGAAAAATGTTGAAATAAGATAAGTGACCACACTATTTAGTTACGCGTACAAACTGATGACGTATGACAAATGCAAACAGCTAGCCGAAGTCTTGAAAACTCAAGATATGAAGACCGTCTCTACAACTTGAAATTAAAATTAATCCTTAGAAACTCGCATCCTAAAGATGAAGATGCAAGTCACGATAAATTTGTTATTAGTTAGTCTAATCAGCATAGTTAAGTTTGTTATACTTGTTTGTGATTAGACAAGTTTGTTGTAGTTTCCTTTGTACATAGCTAAATGATATATATACGGTGGGACTATGATTGTTTAGGGCCGGAATAAGGCTAATCCAAATATCAATACCTCACAAGTCCGATCATGGATTTGACAACTTCAAGCGGAGCTGGATCAGACAGAGCATGCCACTGTCACCCAGTTCTAGGGCAATAGGTGAAGTCCGAGCAACTTAGTTGGTATGAACCGCAATATCTACTTCTAGATATCTCCTAGGATTCTTCCAGCTTAGAACAAGAATTCTATTCTAAAAAGCTCTCCTCATGGTATAAATACACCCATCTAGTGTTCATCTCTGGTAACGCAATCTTAGTACTCTATTCTCTTGCTCACTGCTTGAGCCTAAAATTGCTTACTAACTTGACTATCGGAGAATTTTGGCCGACATACCCCACCCTAGTCCTAGGCATGCTCATGGTTGTTCTCAGTTTTGCAGATTGCTCGAATTTGTGCTTCCACCATTTGCGACAGTCTGCATATTTTGTTCCAACAATTAGCGCTTTCATTGGGAACGATCTCATATTCCTCTCAACGAAATCATTCTACCCCAATAAGGATTCCCCCCAAATCACGCCACGATGAACTACACGCTTTAATGCACAACATTAACCCCGAGATCGACAGAGTTACCGCCATGTACGAGATATAGGAATATGTGATGCATATTTATCTATCTTGGAAGACCTTTGACAGAGCCCCCTTCGCTAAAGAACCTATAAGACTCGTCGACTTGAAGGTACGAATTAAAGACCTGTAAAAAGCCATTTCACGCTTCAAAGAAGTGTCAATCCAGACAATGGAAATCCTTGATCTGACTCTTGAGGAGTCGCCTCAATGTCATTCATCGGAGACACACCATAAAAAAATCTAGGAGACTACAATGCCTACATCCCATCTGATAATTGGACAAAGAACCATTCCCTAGAGTGAATTACATATATGGTGAGTAAGAATATTTGGAAACACTAGGAAAGAAAGAAAGATAGCTTGCAAGAAACCTCGAATGATGGCTTCAATCAATAAAACGCTAGCTATTGACGCTAATATCTTGATGTTCTTTGATCGAGGCATGGAAGACTTCCATTCACCGCGACAACGACCCATTCATCGTCAAAGTGCAAATCACCAATGCCATGATCAGCCGGGTCCTAGTGGACAACAAATTGGGAGTTAATGTCATCTTCAAGGATGCCGCAGAAAAGATGGGTATTCTTGATAGCATCAACAAGGGGAGAATCACCCTTCACACCTTCAACGAAGCCTTATAACCACTTGGTGACCTCCCATGTTATGGATTGCCTGACTCCCCACAACGCCATCCTTGGCTGGAATTGGTTACATAAGATGAAGGTTGTTCCATCTTGTTACCATCAACTACTTTGCTATCCCACTCTAGGTGGAGTAAAAGGAATAAAAGGAGATTAATCGGCAGTCCGTTACTGCATCGTCGAAAGCATGAAAATGATCCGGAATGGAGAAAAAAGTTCCAACACCATCCTGACGAGTTAGCATAGAAATCACAGTGGTGGGCCCAGTAGACAAGTTACAAAGAATTTGACCTAGATCTCAATCCCCAAGACGACAACACTTTGGAGTCGAAAGCGGACGAGGGCGCCGTGTACATCAGCCTCAATCCCGACAAGCCATATCGAAAAGTAAAAATTGATAAGAACTTACTGATCGTGAGAAAGAAATTGCCTAGTCTGTGGAAGACATGCTCAGGATGTGTTTTCTTGGTCCGCAGAAGACATGTCCGGGATTGATCCCTTCATGTTCTGCCACTGCCTCCACTAGGCCCAACTGCCAGACTAGTTATCTAGCGCAAGTGAAGTCATGCAACATAGGGGAGCAAGATCATAAAGGCCGAGATCAATAAGCTCAAAGACCAACTTCATCGTTGAGGTGCATCATTCAAATGGCTAGCGAACGTAGTGCTGCTGCAAAAGAAAAATCGAAAGTGGAAAGTGTGTGTATGGACTTCACAAACCTAAACAAAGCCTACCCAAAGGATCCGTACTCAATCCTATGGATCGATCTACTGGTGGACTCAATCGCGAGTCACGAACTATTGAGCTTCATGGATGCCTACTCTTGGTACAATTAAATAGAGATGTATGAACCAAACATCTATCTATATGAACCAGACATCTATATGTATGAACCAACCATGGAAGCAACATCCATCATTATTGACACATGTATGTATTGCTACAAGGTTATGCCATTCGATCTAAAAAAATGGGCAGGGGCAACATACCAAAGACTCGTCAACTGAAATCTTCAAAGAAAAAATTTGAGACATGATGGAAGTCTATGTAGATGACATGGTAATCAAGATCAAGGAAAAGAAGGACCACATAGTCCACCTCAAGGAAACGCTTAACTTGCTTGAAAGTACAACATGAAGCTAAACCTGGAGAAATGCCCCTTCGGAGCAGCATTAGACAAATTTCTTGTCTAATATGATTTTATGCTAAAGAGACATGTAACGTGGCCTATAGATATTGCAAAAATTAAGAAAAAAAAAATGTTAAGTGGTTAGTACATAAAAGTTTAAAATTTTTAACGATTCAACGATTTCAAAAATATTGCAAAAATTCAAAAAATTAAGTTATGACATGGCAGCTCTGTTGATTTATGTATTTCTAGATGGTTTTGTATGTGTTATTTCTAGAAAAATGAAGAACAGAAGAAAACAATGAAAATTTGAAAATGGAGAGTATGGTGTGGATTCAATTACAGAAGCATTCATTCACACATGCATATATATATAAGCTATGATGGGGTGAATAGGGACAAAAATAACGCTTTGCACATGTAAGCAAGCTCACGTGCACTACACGGGATCAATTTAAAACACCACTAATCAGGACAAGTGGCACATTCTACACCATTTAGATGTTTTAATCCTAACCGTTTATTACACATGGATTATAAACTCCAACATTCAAATTAAAACCGAGCTATATCAATTTGAACTGCACTATGTCGCAATCCAGCAACGTTGATTCACAGCAACATCCTTATACTGCAACAAGCTCTGTCCAATTTTGACAGAAAAAATGACAATTTCATTTACTGTCATTGGAAAATCTGTTTTACTTATTAAATACTGATACGAGAGAGACAATAAATTATTCTAATTCCTAACAACTTTCTCTAATATATTAACACATAAAAGTGAAATATTATGTATTAAAACTTGTAATCCGGTAATACATCCAAAACTAGAACTGAGATAAACTAAAAGAGAGAGGTAAGGAGAGAGAGAGTATCTACATGATAGTTTCTCATAATTTTTATTATTATTATAGTCATGAGGCTACTTGTACACAAACTGAATCCACATAATATCTCAGGCTTGAGGGACAAGCATTTCCCTAACGTGTTTCCTATGGGCAACCAATTTTTGGCAGTCAGGAAGGTTGTCTCTAATGACAGGAACTTGCTTGAAATTCTGAACTCATGCATGCAATCGAGGCAAAGTGCTTGGCTCAAGCAATTTGACACCCACCGTTTCTTCAATGGCTTCGAACCAAAGAGCCAGCCATCCATGCGTTATGTCGACCAAGTTTATACCATCACCCCTGATGAGTCAATATTATATTATATATTGTACCATATTCTTAAGTATTAGTTTATTGATTATTTTGGTAGAATTTTGATACTTTGCTTTACATTTTCAACATAGGACATTCGAAACGTGATCAAATGGATGAATTTTGGAGTGATTCAAACCGGAGGACGTTCGTGTGCCTCTTGGCTTATTTGTATCAAAATTTGGGATTTTTCTACTAAGCGGTTATTTTTTGGTGATCAAATAAAGAAGCAGTGTGCGTTGCTGAATAGTGACCTTTTTTAAGCTTAAATTGAGTTTTTGGAGCCCAAGATGACCTCAGATAGGTTCATAGCCTTCTGGAGAAGTGTTTAGAATAGTCGAAGCTTT